CCGGGCTATGATTCGTTTAGTGGGACCTCCATGGCCGCGCCGCACGTCTCTGGCCTGGCAATGGTGCTCTGGAACAAGTGAGCCCCCCCCCCCCCCCCTCTTGCAGGTGTGCTGGGTTGCGCAGCCGCCTTCGTCGCCGTCGCCGCCGATCGCTCCATCGGCCCCCCCAATCGAGTTCCAGGTCACCGTGGGTGGCGGCGGCTGGCAGTACGAGGTGTCGTGGACCCTGACGTGCAGCGGCGCGTTGATTGGCAGTGGAGGGGCCCCCTACTCCGGCACCCTGTCCGCGCCGCCCGGCGAGTGCACGCTCGACATGTACGACTCGTACGGCGACGGCTGGAACGGCAACTTGTGGGAGGGTGCGGGCTATACGTTCACCTTCGACTCCGGTTCCTATGGCAGCGCGACCTTCACCCTCACCGCCCTCCCTCCGTCCTCTCCGCCGTCACCGTCCCTGCCGCCGCTGCCGCCGCTGCCGGGCTACTGCTTCGCCACCTCGGCGGTCGCATCCAAGGCCGTCGTTGTCCCCAAGATTGTCGGCCCCAAGATTGTCGGCGGCGTGCCCGTCGACCCCGCGCGCAAGTATGTGCCCGACCCGCCTTCCCGCGCCAACGCCGCGCTCCGCTCGCCACCCGCCGCCGTCTGCTGACAGGTACACCTGGCTCGTCTCGCTCCAGTACGACAGCGGCTTCCACTTCTGCGGCGGCACGCTCATCGCGCCCGATTGGGTGCTCACCGCCGCGCACTGCACGCAAGACACCGTCGGCCGCGTGGCCGTCGGCATGCACGTCGTCGCCGACGTGAACACCGACCCGTGCGTCTCCTTGCACGAGGTGGCGGAGATCTTGAACCACGAGGACTACGGCTCTCCCAATTCAGAAAGCAACGACGTCTCGCTGCTCAAGCTCGCCACGCCTGTGACCGGCTATGCGCCCATCGACTTGCTCGACGGCCCGGGCATGGACACGCCCTTCCAGGAGCACCTCGCCATGCTCACCGTCGCCGGCTGGGGCACCATGTCCTCCGGCGGCGTGTCCTCGCCGGAGGCCATGGAGGTCGACGTGCCGGTGGTCCAGAATGAGGACTGCAACGTTGACTACAGTGGCCAGATTGACGACACGATGATCTGCGCCGGCGACACCGTGAATGGCGGCGAGGACGCGTGCCAGGGCGACTCGGGTGGCCCCCTCTTCGGCATCGACGCCGACGGCAACTACGTGCTCACGGGCATCGTGAGTTGGGGCTCCGGCTGCGCCGACGCCAACTTCCCGGGCGTCTACGCGCGCGTCTCCCACTTTGATGAGTGGGTCTGCGCGAGGACGGACGGCGCGGTCTGTGGATTTTATCCTCGGTCGCCGCCGCCGCCACCGCCGCCGAGCGCATCACCGTCACCGCCGTCGCCACCATCGCCGCCGCCCTCGCCGCCGCCACCGCCCGCGCCTCCGTCGCCGCCACCAGCAGCGCAGCTGCTCGACCTTCGCACGGCCACCACGTACCAGGACTCGAGCTGGTTCGACAAGCAGGCGCCCGTGAGCGACCTGTCATATGCCGACAGCACGACGGGACGGCCGTGGGCCGAGTGCGGCCACTACACAAGCCACACGTGGGGCGTCGACCTCGGGAGCGAGGTGTATGTGCGCTACGTGCGGCTGCAGAACCGCAACGACTGCTGCCCGGAGCGGCTGACGGACGTCGACATCTATCTCGGCTCGACGGCGGAGACGTACACGGGCAACGCGCTGGTGAAGTCGGACGTGAGCGTGTCGTCGAACGTGATGTTGGAGGTGGAGATCAACGCGCTGGGGCGCTACATCTACCTCAACCGGCCGTCTGCGGCGGGGCTGACGGTGTGCAAGTTCTACGTCTTCGCTTCGCCCGCGACGCCGCCGTCCGTCTCGCCGTCGCCGCCGCCGCCGTCCGCCTCACCCTCGCCGCCGCCGCCCTCAGCATCGCCGTCGCCCCCGTCGCCCTCAGCATCGCCGTCACCCCCGCCGGCATCCGTGTCGCCGTCGCCGCCGCCTCCCTCGGCATCGCCCTCGCCCCCGCCGCCGTCCGCCTCGCCCTCGCCGCCGCCTCCCTCCGCCTCACCGTCACCACCGCCTCCCTCAGCATCGCCCTCGTCGCCGTCCGCCCGGCCCGTGCCTCCTCCTCCGTCGGCCTCGCCGTCGCCGTCCGCCCGGCCCGTGCCGCCTCCTCCGTCGGCCTCGCCGTCGCCGTCCGCCCGGCCCGTGCCGCCTCCTCCGTCGGCCTCGCCGTCGCCGCCGCTGCCACCTGCTTCACCGCCCACCCCTGTGTGCACACCGGTGCTTTACCAGACGTCGGCAGCGCTGCCGACCGACGCGCCGCTGGTAGCACGAGCTCCCGCCTTCATCGACCCGATTGCAAGCGCCCTCATCATCCAAGGGACCGGCGTGAGCGGGAGTGTGTCTGCCTCGGGCATCGCTGTCGGGCGCGACTACGCCGGTGACGACATCTTAGACACCCTTGCTGATGGGACGCCCGGCGCGATCCGCGCCCAGATCTTTACCAACTTCAGCCAGGAGCGCACCGTCAAGGTCACAGCCACCATCTTTGAGAAGGATGACAGCTTCCCCCCGGGCTTCAATCCTGCGGCTCCGGCGTACCGGGGCGATATCGAGTTCGAGAGTGAGAGCTTCACCGGTCTCTTTCCATACGACGTCGAGGACCAGGCGGCCACTGACGTGATTGTCCCGATCGACCTGACCGGCGAGGCCATCAAGCGAGGCGCCACTTACATCGTCGGAATTGTCGCTGAGGTGCCAGGCTTCAATTTGACGCAAGACTCGTCGTGGGGTCTCCTCTCCGTCAAACCAGTCACCGCCGGGGATCCAAGCCTGGCGATTACCGTGCGCAACTTTGCGCCTGGCACGACTGTCACCTTCTTCGACGCATCCCTGTGTATCGCCGGGTGCCACGTGCCTGCTGCGGTGGCAGAGACTCCACCCACCAATCCAGGGGAGACCGGCAAGAGCTTTGCCAACAGCACGGTCTCCATCGAGCTGATCTCAAAGTGCCAGCCACCGTCAGCGCCTCCGCCGTCACCGCTGCCTCCATTCCCACCGCCGCCCAGCCCGCCACCGCCCTCGCCGCCGCCTCCGACCCCCTCTCCTTCGCCGACTCCTTCGCCCACCCTGCCCGGCACCTGCTTCCCGAGCCCGACATCGCTCTCGACCAAGATTGTCGGCGGCGAGGAGATCGACCCGCCGCGCCTCTACCAGTTCCTCGCCCACCTCGGCGGCTGCGGCGCCATCCTCATCCACGCGGAGTGGGCGCTGACGGCCGCACACTGCGCGCCCTACTTTGGCGCTGGCTCCGAGATTCTCCTTGGTCAGCACTCGCGCAACGCTGCCGGATCCGGCGCTGATGAGTGCGTCGAGCGGCTCGAGGTGGTGACCATCGTCCCTCACGAAGACTACAACGGTGGCACTTTCGACAACGACATTGCGCTCATCAAGTTGTCCGCCCCGAGCGAGTACGCCGCGATCGATATGCTCGACCAGCCTGATGACGACACCTGGCACAGCGCGGGCACGCCGCTCGTCGTGGCGGGCTGGGGCACGCTCTCGTCGGGCGGCAACACGCCCGACAAGGCACAGCATGTGACCGTGCCGGCCGTGCCCGAGTGCGCCGAAACTGGCTACGGCAACCAGTACAACCCTGCAACGATGGTGTGCGCTGGCGAGACGGGGCTCGACAGTTGCCAGGGCGACTCGGGCGGGCCTCTTTTTGGCATTGACAGCTCGGGCAAGCGCACACTGGTCGGGATTGTCAGCTGGGGATATGGTTGTGCGGCCAACAACTACCCCGGTGTCTATGCGCGTGTGCAGGCCTACACCGACTGGATCTGCGACTTGACCAGTGGCGACGTTTGCTCGACCGGCATGCCGCCCGCCTCCCCGTCGCCGCCAAAGCCACCTCCCGCATCGCCATCGCCGCCGCCGCCACCGGCCACGCCGCCGCCGTCATGCCCGCTCGGCGACGTCTGCGTCACCGGCCCGTGCTTGATCACCGACGGCGGCTCGTGCGCCACCTCGCCCGACTTCCCGAACGACTACCCGAACCTCGAGGGCTGCACCCTCTACGGCATGCCGCCGGTCGGGCTGGACGTGATCGCCTTTGACGTGGAGGAGCACTCCAACTGCCGCTACGACTACCTCACCGTCAACGGCGTAAAGTACTGCGGCACCTCGGGCCCGGCCGGGGTCGTGCCGTCGGATGGGACCATGACGTGGGTCTCTGACGGTTCGGTCACCGAGTCAGGCTGGAAGGCGCGCGCTCCTTTCTCTTGCTCCCTGCTTCCCTCCTGAGCTCTCACGCTCACCCAGCCCCGGTGCCCAACCCCCTATGTCCCCCCCCGCCCCCCCCCCCCTCTTGCAGGTGTGCTGGGTTGCGCAGCCGCCTTCGTCGCCGTCGCCGCCGATCGCTCCATCGGCCCCCCCAATCGAGTTCCAGGTCACCGTGGGTGGCGGCGGCTGGCAGTACGAGGTGTCGTGGACCCTGACGTGCAGCGGCGCGTTGATTGGCAGTGGAGGGGCCCCCTACTCCGGCACCCTGTCCGCGCCGCCCGGCGAGTGCACGCTCGACATGTACGACTCGTACGGCGACGGCTGGAACGGCAACTTGTGGGAGGGTGCGGGCTATACGTTCACGTTCGACTCCGGTTCCTATGGCAGCGCGACCTTCACCCTCACCGCCCTCCCTCCGTCCTCTCCGCCGTCACCGTCCCTGCCGCCGCTGCCGCCGCTGCCGGGCTACTGCTTCGCCACCTCGGCGGTCGCATCCAAGGCCGTCGTTGTCCCCAAGATTGTCGGCCCCAAGATTGTCGGCGGCGTGCCCGTCGACCCCGCGCGCAAGTATGTGCCCGACCCGCCTTCCCGCGCCAACGCCGCGCTCCGCTCGCCACCCGCCGCCGTCTGCTGACAGGTACACCTGGCTCGTCTCGCTCCAGTACGACAGCGGCTTCCACTTCTGCGGCGGCACGCTCATCGCGCCCGATTGGGTGCTCACCGCCGCGCACTGCACGCAAGACACCGTCGGCCGCGTGGCCGTCGGCATGCACGTCGTCGCCGACGTGAACACCGACCCGTGCGTCTCCTTGCACGAGGTGGCGGAGATCTTGAACCACGAGGACTACGGCTCTCCCAATTCAGAAAGCAACGACGTCTCGCTGCTCAAGCTCGCCACGCCTGTGACCGGCTATGCGCCCATCGACTTGCTCGACGGCCCGGGCATGGACACGCCCTTCCAGGAGCACCTCGCCATGCTCACCGTCGCCGGCTGGGGCACCATGTCCTCCGGCGGCGTGTCCTCGCCGGAGGCCATGGAGGTCGACGTGCCGGTGGTCCAGAATGAGGACTGCAACGTTGACTACAATGGCCAGATTGACGACACGATGATCTGCGCCGGCGACACCGTGAATGGCGGCGAGGACGCGTGCCAGGGCGACTCGGGTGGCCCCCTCTTCGGCATCGACGCCGACGGCAACTACGTGCTCACGGGCATCGTGAGTTGGGGCTCCGGCTGCGCCGACGCCAACTTCCCGGGCGTCTACGCGCGCGTCTCCCACTTTGATGAGTGGGTCTGCGCGAAGACGGACGGCGCGGTCTGTGGATTTTACCCTCGGTCGCCGCCGCCGCCACCGCCGCCGAGCGCATCACCGTCACCGCCGTCGCCACCATCGCCGCCGCCCTCGCCGCCGCCACCGCCCGCGCCTCCGTCGCCGCCACCAGCAGCGCAGCTGCTCGACCTTCGCACGGCCACCACGTACCAGGACTCGAGCTTGTTCGACAAGCAGGCGCCCGTGAGCGACCTGTCATATGCCGACAGCACGACGGGACGGCCGTGGGCCGAGTGCGGCCACTACACAAGCCAATGGTGGGGCGTCGACCTCGGGAGCGAGGTGTATGTGCGCTACGTGCGGCTGCAGAACCGCAACGACTGCTGCCCGGAGCGGCTGACGGACGTCGACATCTATCTCGGCTCGACGGCGGAGACGTACACGGGCAACGCGCTGGTGAAGTCGGACGTGAGCGTGTCGTCGAACGTGATGTTGGAGGTGGAGATCAACGCGCTGGGGCGCTACATCTACCTCAACCGGCCGTCTGCGGCGGGGCTGACGGTGTGCAAGTTCTACGTCTTCGCTTCGCCCGCGCCGCCGTCACAATCATCACCGCCTCCCCCGCCGCCGCCTCCCTCCGCCTCGCCCTCGCCGCCGCCTCCCTCCGCCTCACCATCGCCGCCGCCGCCCTCAGCATCGCCGTCGCCCCCGCCGCCGTCCGTCTCGCCGTCGCCGCCGCCGCCGCCCGCCTCACCATCGCCGCCGCCGCCCTCAGCATCGCCGTCGCCCCCGCCGCCGTCCGTCTCGCCGTCGCCGCCGCCGCCGTCCGCCTCACCATCGCCGCCGCCGCCCTCAGCATCGCCGTCGCCCCCGCCGCCCTCAGCATCACCGTCACCCCCGCCGCCATCCGTGTCGCCGTCGCCGCCGCCTCCCTCGGCATCGCCCTCGCCCCCACCGCCGTCCGCCTCGCCCTCGCCGCCGCCACCCTCACCGCCACAACCCTCCCCTCCTCCACCCACGCCGCCGTCGCCCTCTCCGCCGCCGGTCTCTCCGCCCCCATCCTCGCCGCCACCGCCATGCGATCAGATGTGTCACTTTGCAGGAGCGGCCACGGCGTTGCCCTGCTCGATTTTTGCCGAGTTGCCGTGTCCGCTTCTCGCAGACCGCGGTTGTTCTCAATGTGCCGGGTGCTGTGGCCTGTCGCAGTGCATGTCGACAAACTCATCGGACTTTTGAGCTTCCCGCGCCGGTGCCAGCCGCCATTGGCTGGCGAACAAACAGCACATTCTCGCGTTCTCTTGCTCGTAGAACATACTGGTCGCGCGCGTGTGCTCGCACGTCTTTAGGCTAAGTCGCTCCTTGTGGAAGTCACTTTTGGAACAGTGAACGTCGGTGCTCGAAAATGAGTATCTCTGGCGACCTGTCTGGCTCGCACCAGTCGTGCGAGGCAACAATGCGGCAGTCGAGAGATTCCGTGTCAATGACCAGCAGGGCGGGTCTGCCTCCTCGCAGGCCAGGCTTTCAGATTACGATGATGTAACATACTTGACATCCCCCCTTGGCGCCTTGACCCTTGTGATTTTCCTCCCAAACCAGCGCGATATCTCGGCCTCCGCTCGCGCGCCGGCCGCCCATGCGCTCGCGGGGCTGCCCGACGGGGCTGGCCTCGTGCTGATGGACCCAGCCGAGGTGCCCGACCAGTTGGAGCCGCGCCGACGCGCCGCGCGCGACCACCAGCCAGCTTTTCGGCGGGGTCGAGGACGGTGCGTCGAAAGAGTAGACACTCTCCGGTCCATCCGGAATTTTGTCGTTTTAGTTAGCACTAGACGGTTTTTGGCCGGCGCCATGTGGCGCCGGGCCCCGCCCTCCAGGGCTTGACGCGTCTGGTGCCAGCGACGCAAACGGCGAGTGTTTTGCGACGGGTACTTGTTCGGTACTTGTAGTGTTAGGAGCAACACGACGCCGATCGTTGAAAGTAGCAACCACTCACACACACACACACGCCTCTAACCAACTGGCTCAGTTGAAGAGGCCGCTCCCACAGCTCTCACACCTATCTCTCTGGTACACAATATTGGAAGCGTTGTGAATTGTAGACCATTGGCCTCCTAAAAATCTCTCTCTCAACTCTCTCTTGGTAAGACTTCGGAGAAGGCAAGCCGTGAAGTTGTCAACCGTCTCGGCGTCGACAACAACTCTCGAACCAGTCGTGCTGCGGGAACGGCCCCTCTGATTGCTCTGACAGGCACGCCTTGCACCTCGCCATGGATCCGCGGCAGAAGCCAATGCCGCAACGCTTTCAGGAAAGAGAGGAGGAAGACGCATACCAAAACTGCTCCAATCAGTAGCTCCATACGTTGCCTTTCACTGTGTAGGAGTTGTTGCAGCTTCTCGATCTTTGAAGTCTTGTCCTGCAGCAATATTTTCTGCCTCCAAATGTAGTCTAATACGTCATCGCACCTCCGCCATGAGGACGGCCTTGTGCGAGCGCTGTCGTTGAGAACGAAGCGGCCCGAGTGTTCTGTTGCCTTCAAGGCATATTTCCTGAGCTGAGGTAGCTCGTTCCCTTGGTGAGGGCGGTCGTGTTTGTCATGGCCGGGTCGTGCATGTACGTCTGGGCGACGTCCGTCGGACTACGGTCCGCCATCTTTAGCAGGTCTTTGATCGGCTTCAAATCGTCCTCCTTGACGCCGCTGCCTCGCGACGAATTCTCCGGACCCCGACAAGCCGCCCGACGTTGGGCCTCTGCCCCGCACGCCCCCGCCCCTTCTTTCTGCCCCTCGCTCACACCCCGGCCCGACACGCACATACAAGACAAACCCGGCGTCCTGCTCTCAAAAGAAAAAGAAAAATGGGTCGACCCGTCGAACTGGGATTCGAACTGGCGACTCGCTCAGACCTCAAGAGGTTGCTCACGAAAATCGGCACAGCGATCCTGCAACTTGCGCTCGCGTGGGTGCCACCGGCGGCAGCGGCTTCGGCGTGCCCTCAAGAAAGAAAGAAAGCAGTGGACCATGACACGCCGACAATGTCGAGGGTGTCACTGACAAGAGATTGAGAAAGCGAGCACACCGCCAACACACCGCCGCCCAAGCCGCACCGCCAACACACCGCCGCGCAAGCCGAGACAGCATGCCCTTTGTCCTCTTTCTTGCCCTGCTTGCGTCCGCCACGGCGGCGCCTACCACGAAAGGCCGGCGCGCGAACGAACAACCCAAAGTTCGTCTGGTTGTCACCGGCGAGACCAACGTGGCGAGGACCACGCGTGGCGCGCGAGCTTCAAACCGGGTGGCGCAGATGGCGGCGTGGGGCGGAAACGTCACTATGACAATCCGAGCAGCCCACAACACCTTCACTGTGGTCGAAGTCGCGGACCCCAACGAGGCGCGATTGTTCAAGGAGCAGGCGGAGCGCTCGGGGCTAAGGGTCGAGGAGGATCAGCGGCGCTACCCAGGACCGAGCAGCACCGCCACGCGGACGCAGCCGCTAGCCGAGGAAACGCCATGGGGGATCGAGCGTGTGTACAACGGAGCGGTGCCGAACGCCTCCTTCTTCCCGTCGGCGGTGACGCATCCGCTCTGCATCATCGACTCTGGCTACCTGCTCACACACCCTGACCTTCCCTCTGACGCCACCGCGGCGGACCCGCTCCAAGCTGACCCAGCCGGCACGATGTACTTCGGCGACGACATCTGCAACCACGGCACGCATGTCCTCATCCTCTCCGCCGCCCCTCTCCGCCGCCATCATTCTCTGCCCGCCGTCTCTCCGCCGCCCCCTCGACCCCACCCTCCATCACTCCACCACATCCTCTCCCCCGCCCTCCCCCCCGCCCTCCGTCCCACCAGGCACGCATGTCGCGGGCACCATCGCGGCCATCGGTGGCGACGGGGAGGGAGTGGTCGGTGTCTTCCCGGGTGCGCCTGGCCTGAAGATAGTGAAGGTGTTTGGCGAGGCCGGCCAGCTCGACGACCCACCTGGGTGGCCAAACGAGGCGTGCGGCTGGACCTATGCCTCAGAAGTCGTCGATGCGGTTCAGCGATGTGTCGACAGCGGAGCCAAGATCGTCTCGAGTGAGCGTGCCTAGTTCCGCTACCCGTCTTTGACTCATCTAACCCCTCCCGCCCCCACCCCCCCTCTTCCGCAGTGTCGCTCGGAGGTGGGGGTCCGTCGAGCACTGAGCGTGATGCCTTCCAGACATTCTTTGATGACGGCATCCTCAGCATCGCGACCGCCGGCAACGGCGGAAGTAGCAGCTACAGTTACCCGGCGTCCTACTCCTCGGTCATGAGCGTCGCCGCCACCGACAGCAGCGACGCGAAGGCGAGCTTCTCGCAGTTCAACGACGACGTCGACATCGCTGCGCCAGGCGTCGACGTCGTCTCGACCGTCGGTGCCACCCCTGTGCGAGAAGGCCGCAGCGCCGCCGCTCTCCCACCGCTCTCACGCGATCATTGTCTCCTACCTAGGCCCTCCGAGCGACACTGGGGTCGGCCCCCCGGCCTATGATTCGTACGATGGGACCTCCATGGCCGGGCCCCAAGTTTTTGGCCTGCCAATGGGGTTTTGGAACAAGTGAGCCCCCCCCCCCCCCCCCCGCACGCACGCGCGCGCGCACGCACGCACGCGGAGGTCGGACCCGAGCCGCCGCGTCAGACACGCCTCGCGGCCACGCAGGTACCCGTCCTATACCAACGCCGAGGTCCGCACGGCGCTTGAGGGGGGCGCCGAGGATCTGGGCGAGCCAGGCCGCGACAACCAGTTCGGCCATGGCCTCGCCAACTACCAGGGAGCCGAGATGAGGTTGGGCGCGCCATCGGCGCCGCCGCCGCCGCCGGCCCCGCCGCCGCCGTCCTTGCCGTCATGCCCGCTCGGCGACGTCTGCGCCACCGGCCCGTGCTTGATCACCGACGGCGGCTCGTGCGCCACCTCGCCCGACTTCCCGAACGACTACCCGAACCTCGAGGGCTGCACCCTCTACGGCATGCCGCCGGTCGGGCTGGACGTGATCGCCTTTGACGTGGAGGAGCACTCCAACTGCATCTGGGACTACCTCACCGTCAACGGCGTAAAGTACTGCGGCACCTCGGGCCCGGCCGGGGTCGTGCCGTCCTCCTCGAAGGCGTCCTCGCTCGTGAGCTGCTCGCCGCTTCTCATGCCCGCCCTCGTGCTCATCCTCCTCGCCATCGCCTGCGGCGCCTCCTGGCCGACCGCGGCGAGCGGAAAGGGGGCTCGCGGCGCGGCGTGGGCCACTTGTTTCGCCGCCGCCACGGCGTACCTCTCCGGCGCGGCGGCGGCACCTGTCGGTTTCTCCGCAAGCGCTTTGCCGTGGCTCGCAGCGGGTCCCCCAGCGGGTCCCCCGAAGGTCGCCGCCGCAGTCGCCGCCTTGGCCGTCGTCTGCACGGTGACGTGGCGCCGCAACTTAAAGGCTTGGCCACCGTCGCTGGCGGTTTGGGTCACTGTCGCTGGCGGCGCCGCGCTTGTCGCAGCCTCAACGACCGTGCTCTTCATCACAGCTGCCTTCCTCGTCGCCGCCGTTTGCAGCTGGCGGCTGTTCGGGATGGCTGGCGGCCGAGACGACAAGAGCAGCTCGAGATCCGCCGCCTCGCTCGAGCCTGCCGAACGTCGTTGCCGCCATCGCACGCCGTCTCAGATTCACCACCAGCAGTTCAATTCGCATAGCTGCTTGGTCCTGCTTTGCGCCTTTGGTATGCTTGCTCCTTGCGAGGCTCGTCCGTCGCCTCTACGTCGGCTGAAGACGGACGTCACATGCGAGATTGTCCTGCGCCAGAAGATGAACCCGCCCGGAGGAGCCGCCCTTCCGCCCGAGCCCGCCTGCGTTCCGGTCGGTCGTCGGGGGCCCGTGTACGAGTTCTCGCCATCCCTGCCCAAGGCCTTCGTTGCGAGCATGGGGGGCGTCCGCCAGCTCGGTGGCAGAATCGTCACTTTTGTCGGTGGCAACGCTAGCGCCAAAAAGTCCGTCCCAACGGTCTTCATCCCAGCGAGCGCCACCGTGGTCGCAGACGGACCCGCACGCGGCGTGCAGCGCCTGAGCGCCGCCGCCACGGGCACGAAAAAGGTCTTGGTTGCCAGGATGAGGAGCACCACACATGGTCAGGAGCCGACGCCGACGATCAATGACCTAAAGGAGCGCGTCTTCGGCATGGGAATCAGCCCCGTGGCCGTCAACTTCAAGTCGCAGTCCGCCGCCTGCTCAGAGAATGAGCTCATCATCGAACCAGGTGCGTGTGTTTCCGGGAACACTGCGCCAGGCTGTGCTGAGATCAGCGACGGTGTGATGAATCTCGACCTCGACATGGACCTCTCGCCAGGCGTGGATCCCAGCGCGGTGGAGTATGCAGCGGTTGTTAAGCTCAACGCCTTAGGCCTGCGTGATGCCGCAACAGCGGACTATGTCATGTTTCTCTTCCCTCCGGGCATAAGTCCGTGGATCGCGTATGCCTACATCAATGGGTGGTCATCATTTTACAGTGACACGTGGGGCGGGTCTGTCTCCGCCCACATGCACGAAGTCGGCCACAACTTTGGACTCGCCCACTCCGGCGAGTTTGGCGAGGAGTACGGCGACCAGTCTTCGTATATGGGCTACAGCTACTTAAGTATCGGCTGGCCCGCGATGTGCTACCACGGCGGGCAGCACCGCAGCCTCGGGTGGTACAGCACCCACACCACCGAGATCGCAGCCTCCGACTTCGTCAGCGGCCAGAACGAGCTCGTCGACCTGTTCGCATTCACCGACGTCCAGGCCCTGTCCGCAGGGGACCCCGTCATCATCAAATTGGACGTCGCCTCACCCCGGGGCTATGCGCTCTACCTACAGTACAACAAGGCGGAGGACCACAACAGCGGCGTGGTAGAGTCCGCAAACCTCATCACCGTCGTCCAGGACGCGCTCAACACCCCGGCGTACCAGCAGTCGTGGAAGGTGGCGTCGCTCGGTGAAGGGGACGACTACGACGACAATCTGCGCGTCAAGGTGTGCTCGCTCGACGTGGTTGGCAGCGTCGACGTCGTGAGGCTCTCCATTTCTCTCGACTACATTGGCGATCCATGCCCCCCGCCGACTCTGTCGCCGCCGCCGGCTCCCCCATCGCCGCCGCCAGCGTCGCCACCACCGTCGCCGCCGCCCTCGCCGCCGCCACCGCCCGCGCCTCCGTCGCCGCCACCAGCAGCGCAGCTGCTCGACCTTCGCACGGCCACCACGTACCAGGACTCGAGCTGGTTCGACAAGCAGGCGCCCGTGAGCGACCTGTCATACGCCGACAGCACGACGGGACGGCCGTGGGCCGAGTGCGGCCACTACACAAGCCAATGGTGGGGCGTCGACCTCGGGAGCGAGGTGTATGTGCGCTACGTGCGGCTGCAGAACCGCAACGACTGCTGCCCGGAGCGGCTGACGGACGTCGACATCTATCTCGGCTCGACGGCGGAGACGTACACGGGCAACGCGCTGGTGAAGTCGGACGTGAGCGTGTCGTCGAACGTGATGTTGGAGGTGGAGATCAACGCGTTGGGGCGCTACATCTACCTCAACCGGCCGTCTGCGGCGGGGCTGACGGTGTGCAAGTTCTACGTCTTCGCTTCGCCCGCGCCGCCGTCACAATCATCACCGCCTCCCCCGCCTCCGTCACCACCATCGCCGCCGCCACCGCCTCCCTCGGCATCGCCCTCGCCGCCGCCGCCACCGCCTCCGAGCGCATCGCCTTCACAAGCGCCGCCGAGCGCATCACCGTCACCGCCGCCACCATCGCCGCCGCCGCCGCCCGCGCCTCCGTCGCCGCCACCAGCAGCGCAGCTGCTCGACCTTCGCACGGCCACCACGTACCAGGACTCGAGCTGGTTCGACAAGCAGGCGCCCGTGAGCGATCTTTCATATGCCGACAGCACGACGGGACGGCCGTGGGCCGAGTGCGGCCACTACACAAGCCACACGTGGGGCGTCGACCTCGGGAGCGAGGTGTATGTGCGCTACGTGCGGCTGCAGAACCGCAACGACTGCTGCCCGGAGCGGCTGACGGACGTCGACATCTATCTCGGCTCGACGGCGGGGACGTACGCGGGCAACGCGCTGGTGAAGTCGGACGTGAGCGTGTCGTCGAACGTGATGTTGGAGGTGGAGATCAACGCGTTGGGGCGCTACATCTACCTCAACCGGCCGTCTGCGGCGGGGCTGACGGTGTGCAAGTTCTACGTCTTCGCTTCGCCCGCGACGCCGCCGTCACCATCACCGCCTCCACCGCCGCCGCCTCCCTCCGCCTCGCCCTCGCCGCCGCCTCCCTCGGCATCACCATCGCCGCCGCCTCCCTCAGCATCGCCGTCGCCCCCGCCGCCGTCCGTCTCGCCGTCGCCGCCGCCGCCGTCCGCCTCACCATCGCCGCCGCCGCCCTCAGCATCGCCGTCGCCCCCGCCGCCCTCAGCATCACCGTCACCCCCGCCGCCATCCGTGTCGCCGTCGCCGCCGCCTCCCTCGGCATCGCCCCCGCCGCCGTCCGCCTCGCCCTCGCCGCCGCCTCCCTCCGCCTCACCATCTCCGCCGCCTCCCTCCGCCTCACCGTCACCACCGCCTCCCTCAGCATCGCCCTCGCCGCCGCCTCCCTCCGCGTCGCCGTCGCCGCCGCCTCCCTCCACCTCGCCGTCGCCGCCGCCTCCGTCCGCCTCGCCCTCGCCGCCGCCTCCGTCCGCCTCGCCGTCTCCGCCGCCTCCCTCCGCCTCGCCGTCGCCGCCGCCTCCCTCCGCGTCGCCGTCGCCGCCGCCTCCGTCCGCCTCGCCGTCGCCGCCGCCTCCCTCCGCACCGCCGTCGCCGCCGCCTCCCTCCGACTCGCCGTCGCCGCCGCCTCCGTCCGCCTCGCCGTCGCCGCCGCCTCCGTCCGCCTCACCCTCGCCCCCGCCGCCCTCAGCGTCGCCGTCGCCCCCGCCGCCCTCAGCATCGCCGTCACCCCCGCCGGCATCCGTGTCGCCGTCGCCGCCGCCTCCCTCGGCATCGCCCTCGCCCCCGCCGCCGACCTCGCCACCGCCTCCCACGCTGCCGCCTCCCGCCCCTCCTCCATCCCCGCCTCCACCCACGCCGCCGCCCTCACCGCCGCCCTCACCACCACCACCCTCGCCACCACCGCCCTCACCGCCGACCTCGCCACCGCCTCCCACGCCGCCGCCACCCTCACCGCCACAACCCTCCCCTCCTCCACCCACGCCGCCGTCGCCCTCTCCGCCGCCGGTCTCTCCGCCCCCATCCTCGCCGCCACCGCCATGCGATCAGATGTGTCACTTTGCAGGAGCGGCCAAGGCGTTGCCCTGCTCGATTTTTGCCGAGTTGCCGTGTCCGCTTCTCGCAGACCGCGGTTGTTCTCAATGTACCGGGTGCTGTGGCCTGTCGCAGTGCATGTCGACAAACTCATCGGACTTTTGAGCTTCCCGCGCCGGTGCCAGCCGCCATTGGCTGGCGAATTCTACGTTTACGGATACGTGTGAATGGAGAATGGAAATTGGAACCGTGGCCATGACAGACCGGCGGCGCGTACGTGAATGTGCATGGTATGCATGTTGCATGTAGTGTGCAGAGCTGAACTCGTCGAGACGTGGACGATGTGGAATGTGAGTAGCGTTGACGCCTGTGGCGCAGAAAAAGTAATATATCTTTATGCAGTTGGCGACGGTATATCATTTGGGCGACGTGGCATAGTGTGGTAACCTCCCTCCGCCTCACCGTCACCACCGCCTCCCTCAGCATCGCCCTCGCCGCCGCCTCCCTCCACCTCGCCCTCGCCGCCGCCTCCCTCCACCTCGCCGTCGCCGCCGCCTCCGTCCGCCTCGCCCTCGCCGCCGCCTCCGTCCGCCTCGCCGTCTCCGCCGCCTCCCTCCGCCTCGCCGTCGCCGCCGCCTCCCTCCGCGTCGCCGTCGCCGCCGCCTCCCTCCGCACCGCCGTCGCCGCCGCCTCCCTCCGACTCGCCGTCGCCTCCGCCTCCCTCCGCCTCACCGTCACCACCGCCTCCCTCAGCATCGCCCTCGCCACCGCCTCCCTCGGCATCGCCCTCGCCGCCGCCGCCACCGCCTCCGAGCGCATCGCCTTCACCGCCGCCGCCGAGCGCATCGCCGTCACCACCGCCGCCGAGCGCATCACCGTCACCGCCGCCGCGATCGCTGCCGACCTTCTGGCAGACCATCGCCCACCACATGGCCCTGCCTGCCGACCATGAGTCGTTCCGGCGCAATGGCGTCTACACCTTCCGACTGACCTATGGCGGCGGCACGATGCCGGCGGCCAGCAACCCCGACTGGCTCACGTCGACCTGGACGCAGACCAACTGGGTCACGGAGGGCTCGCCGGGCACGCTGACCTGCCTCGACGCAGGATGCACAAAGTGGAATGCCGGAGCCGGTCAGTCCACATTCAAGGGGCTCGCAAAGAGCGACACCAGCAACACAGTGCTCGACGGCAATGGCCTGGAAGGCGGCTGGTACAACACGGTGGGCGGCCTTGTCACGTTCAACGGAGGGATGCCGGTCAATCACGGATGGGTCGCCGACACCATGACCTTGTCGAGCAGCCCGCCGACGCGGGAACCGCGCAAGAACTGGAGCTGGTCCTCGAGCGCCGCGAACGCGCCCTGCAGCGCGGCGGCGGCCTCGCACGCCTCGTCGGCGCGGGCGTCTGCCTCGCTCGCGCGCCGCCTCTCCTCGTCCACCATCGAGTCGGCGTACGCCTGGATCTCCTTCCGGTGTCGCCCGAGCCGTAGCCTGTTTTCGGTCTCCGCAACCCGCGCCGCCGCCGCCGCCTCCCTGCGCACCTTTGCGACCTCGCGCTCGCGCGCGGCCTCCTGCTCGGCGCGGAGCTCGTCCGCCGCGTTCTCGGCCCGCTCGCGCTCGGCCGCGACTGCCTGCTGCACGGCCGCCGCAGCGGCCGCCGCCGCGCGGCGCTCACGGTGGCCGAGGTCCGTGACGGCGCGCGAGAGGAGGCCGCGCTGGTAGTCGATCTCGCGCTGCTGCCGCGCCGCGAGCCGCCGCAGCCTGACGACCTCTGACGGCGGCGGCGGGCGCCTCCCGCGCACCGCCGCGGCGATGAGCCCGAGCGCGTCCATGTCGAGGAGACGCACGGCGCTCGAGGCGCCGAGCCGCTCGTGCGCGCCCATCGCAAAGGCGAGGACCTTGAGGTCGGCGGGGATCTCTGCTGCTGCGGCGGCCGCGGCGCCGCCGCCGCCGCCGCCCGCGTCGGCCGCGGTCGAGGTGATCTTGGGGAAGACGAAGCGCGTCGCCGACTCGATCTCGAGCGTGCGCATCGCCCGCTCGGCCTCGGCTGGGTGTTGCCGCCGCGCTGGCGCGCTATGCGGAGGCGCGAGCACACCAACTCGCGGCGCTTGTTGTAGTCCTTGACGGTGCGCTCGCACTTCTGCCAGAGCGACCTCACCGCGAAGCTGGCGGACATGGGCAAGGACACCGGCCCGCTCGCGCTCGCCGCCGCGCAGGTGGCCACCCAGCGGGCAAAGATCAAGGCCTTGTTGTGTAGAGCCCGTCCGTCGCCTTCGCCATCTTAGTGGCCAAGTTGAGGAGGTAGGCGACGTGCGAGAGGGTGAGGCCGCCCACGGGGCAAGCCACGGCCAGCGCCACGGCGCTCGGCTCTTCCTGGGTCGCCACTGAGGCCAAGGCAGCAGCCACATCCTGGGAGGAAAAGTGCGCCACCGACGCGCACTTCTCGTGCGGGTCATTCTCGGAGTTGTCGGGGGCGTGCGAAGCTACCGCCTGCGAACGGCCGGTTGGCAGACGTCATGGCCGGGACCAAGAGGTGCCTCGGGCCAGTTGGGGGGGCAAACCCAGCCCGCCCCCTAGAACCCCGGGTAAGGCCCAGGTGTGGCCTAGGGCATCAGAAGGGACCAAGAGGAGTCCAGTCTGAGCCATAGAGCCCATGTCTTTGCCCCCGAAGAGGTCGCGTTCAAATGCCCGGAACGGCCGTCTCAGTGGTGTCCGGCCGGCGCGATCACCGAGCTGTGACGCTCAGGGAAGCCCGATGAGGTGCTGGTTTCTTTGCCCAGGCCTGGCCTACGACCCATGCTGGATCAGCTGAGCAAGGTTTGGGGAGAATCCTATATTGGGATCTTCAGATATTTTATGACGGATGACCGAAAATGGGCAAAAACGGGGTTATTTTGGTGCACAGCTTCTCGCAACTCCACAACGCCACTTTGGGACATCGTCATCGACGACACACCCCCTCTCGAATATTTCTCAGTACTCCGATTTATTCGTTGTGCGTGCTGCGTGGCGCGCGCCACAGAGCACGCGCCTGCCTGCTGCTGCGCGGCGTGCGTCGCCAAAGTCCGTGTACGCGGCCGAGTCGTGCTCGATGCCGAAGCCGAGCTCCTGCCTCATGCGGCGTGGGGCGCCGGGCGGCCCCGCCTTGAGGAGCAGCGCGGGCTGCGTCCGGTACATTCGCTGCAGGATGAGCATCTTGTGGTGCACGTCGAACGTGTCCGACTCGAGGTCGGCGCAGTCCTAATGAGGCGACGACGGCCTAGAGTCGGGGGTGAGTCAAGAGTGTCCGACTCTCGGTCAGCGCGGGCCTCGAAGAGGAGCTGCCGCTCTCCGGCCGAGAGGAGGACGCGGTGCCGCCGCACCGTCTGGCGCATCGCGTGCAGCGAGATGACGAGCAGGCCGAGGTCGACCTCGGACAGCACCTGTGATCGACCGATTGGCTCGGCGAGTGAGTAGGCGAGAGGAGCAGGCCAAAGTCGAGACTCGGAGAGCACCTCTGCGCCGGCGGCGAGCGAGCGGAGGAGGAGCCGCTCCGTATCGCGCAGCACGAGCCGCACCTAGCGCAGCGAGTCGAGCGATCCACAGGGATGGGACTGAGGGGCAGCGGCTCCGTGCCGCGAGGGAGGAGGCAGCGCCTGCTTGAGCAGAGAGGCGCGAGAGCGGCGGCGCGAGCGCAGCTGCCGCACGACAGAGCGCAGCGTTGTCACTGCGACCTATGTGTCATGTCATTGGATTTGGGTACCGGGTTGGTGAGGTACTGCGCCGCGCACCGTCGTGACTGCGACCGCGAGGGCTACGGCGCCCGGCAGCATCGCCGACATCGTCGCGGTGAGCGAGTTTTGTGCCATGAGGGTGTCCATCGCGCCCATCTGCACGAGCAATCACCCGAGGCTTACCCGAGATTCCCCGAGATCGCCGCGAGATCACCCGAGATTGCCCGAGAGCCCCTACCCTCGCGCCCACCACCTGCACGAGCAGCTCGCGCCGCATGTACTGCGTCTGGATGAGCAGCAGCTGCAGCAGCGGCCCGCGTGCCATCGAGTAGACGGGCGACTGCATCTGCTGCTCGAAGAGGAGCGACATCGCCTCGAGCTCCGCGGCCTCCGCCTCGTCGGGAGGCATCCTAAGTCAGAAGGTTCCTAGAAGGTTCCTAGAAGGTTCCTGAGTGAGAAGGGGAGCGAGCTCACCACTGAGGGGCTCCTCCGCCTCGTGCGCGAGTCTCGGGGCTCGCGGAGTCTCGGGCACTCTCGGGCACTCTCGCGGAATCTCGGGGAATCTCGGGGAATCTCGGGGAATCTGGTGCGGGAGGGCGCCCGTCCGTGAAGACGGGCGTCGCGCCGTACCCGCTCGCCCACCTGACCACCTCACCCGGAGTGGTCAACGCATTCAAGGCGGGGCGTCCGCGCCGTGCCCGCCCGCCCACCGGCGAGGCATGGTGGTTGCCATGTCGACGGCTCCCACCGCACTCTCGCCCAGCGCGCCCACCGCGCCAACCGCAGACACCGCGCTCTCGCCGAGCGCGCCGACCGCGCCGCCGACGACTCCGACAGCCGACGAGAGGCTCTCGAGGTAGCCGCCCCCCTCGCCCCCTTCGCCGCCCTCCCCTCCGCCCCTTCCTCCGCCCCCTCCGCCGCCCTCGCCGCCGCCCTCGCCGCCGCCCTCGCCGCCCCCCTCCTCGCCGCCGCCCCCGAGGCGCAACGCGCGCGGCGCGTCGCCGCCTCCGCCGTCGAACAGGGGGCGGGGCAACCCTCCTCCTCCTCCTCCGCCTCCGCCTCCTCCGCCGCCGCCCACGCCCGCGCCGTCGTCGTCGCCGCCGCCGCCGCCGCCGCCGCCGCCGCCGCCGCCGCCGCCCCTAGCTCCGGCGGCGCCAAGCGCGGCGGCGGCGCCGGCGCCGGCAGCACTCGCCCCGCCGGCGGCGCCGAGCGCGTTGAGCTCGGAGGCGTAGTTCTCCTTGAACTGGCGGAGCAGCGAGCGGAGGAGCGCATTCGCCTCCGAGATGGCGCGCGGGTCCGACACCTGTGGGAGATTGCGGGGGAGATTGCGAGAGATGGCGCGAGGTTGTGGGAGATGGCGCGCGGGTCCGACACCTGCTCGTACTGGCGCGAGTAGATCTCGGCTCATCTCGGCTCATCTCGGCTGATCTCGGGCCTATCTCGTGCCGCAACACCTGCTCGTACTGGCGCGAGTACAGCTCACGCACCAGCATCGACACCGGCGCCACCACGTAGTACGACAGGAAAGAGGCCGCCGCCGCGCCGGCCTCGCGCGCCGTGCGGCGCAGCAGCGGCAGCAGCGCGTCGGGGCGGTACATCGAGTGCAGAAGCACGGCGCCGCCGCCCGCCGCCGCGGCGCAGTAGCCTGCGCGGTGAGGACGCCGACGTCGGGGCGGGGGCGTGCGGTGTTGTGCAGTGTACTTCAGAGCACCGCGTGGATACGAGGGATGCGAACACACAGTGAGTATACCGGACTGCGGCGGAGCACAGCTGAGTGCGTGTCCTCTCGAGCGCCGGTCGGAGCATACGGGTGCGTGCTCCGCTCCGAGGCGCGGAGATGTGGGGAGGTGTGGGGGGAGATGTGGGGAGGTGTGGGGGGAGAGTCTCTCGCTTCTAGGCGCCGGTAGCCGAGCCAGTTCG